CCCCCCCCTGCCCCCCCCTTCCTACGCCACTGGACTGGAGATTTCCTCACAAAAATTTCAAATTGAATTTTTGGTATTATATCGTGGAAAGTGCTCCACAAACGCCTTAGGACCGAAAGCGGAGATATTGATTCAAACTGGAGTTCCAGTTTACAAGTTGCTTCACTTTTTGAGTCTTTAAGTCTGCGCATTCGTGATGTTAACGGGTTGGGTCTACTCGTGACTTATGACACCTGTACAGGGCAGTGAGCAAATATAAATGGTGTATTTTCCGAATAGATTACTATTCACGCTCCTAATTATGTTTGTTACTTTTGTGGCAAAAGTCTTTCAATAGATTTTCATGGTCTTTTCGTTAAGTAAAATTTATGGATTTATGGATTCATTTGTTTTTTTTTGGCCGTCTACCCGCTTCGCTGCCCAAGTGACCAACCCCTGGAGATTTGTATTACTGTCAGCCTGCTTATCAGAATGGGCCTGTTGCATGCAAGAGATACAGCCGCGCGAATAGACTTTTTAGAGGTTAAATGACACAAAAATTACGATGGTCACATTAAAAAAGTCTGAAATACACTCCTTACTGCGCAATTTGCGTTGTTAGGAACGCGCTTTTTCAAATTTCCCGCGTCTGGGGGCAGTTTTCTAATCACCGGAAACGAGCAAACGGCGGGCTCGGTGCTTTCCGGAAGATGCCGAGTCGTTGTTGTTGTTGTTATTTTTTCCTTCAGTTTGTTTACAAATCCAACGTAATCTCTTTTAGTGGTCCATATACGCTTTATACGGTAACCAGATCGATCAACTTTTATATATCCAACGCAATCCTTCTACATTTCATTTCACGATATCACGAGCTCCGATTTTTAGGTTATGTTGTCAGTTTTAGTTGACCGGAAATAGCCGCGAGTTGCCGTTAATTGTTTCCGTTAGAAAACTGCCCGCAGACGCGGGAAATTTGAAAAAGCACGTTCCTAACAACGCAAATTGCGTAGTAAGGAGTGTATTTCAGACTTTTTTAATGTGACCATCGTAATTTTCGTGTCATTTAACCTCTAAAAAGTTTAATCGCACGGTTGTATCTCTTGCATGCAACAGGCCCATTATCGAGAAAGTTTGAGCAGAAAAATTGAAAGCACAATGGTATAATTATGAGAAGAAGATTGAACAACTGGGCTACTTTTTCTGCGGTAAGGAACTAATATTTTAGGTTTTAGTCATATTTAAGTGGAGCAGAATGAGTATTACTCCAGTGTTTCCTCAGGGAATTAATTTAAGTAACAGCATTTTCAGTTTAAAAGTCAGTTCGTCATTTTCCATAATCATCCGAGAATATGCCATTGAACTTTATCTCGGCTCTTTAGCTAACAGTGAAAAAACATTACAAACAAAACAATACAGTGGAAACCAACTGAGATGCCGCTCCGAACGGTAAACTCGCCATTTGAACAATGCGCGCCGCGAAAAACTATGGAAGAATATTCGAAGTTGGGTTCGGACCCAACATGCAACTATTTTAACTCCGCGGTGGGCCGGGTTGCATACGCTCGATTTTGTGGGCGAAAACTGAGATTTGTCCAACGGCTGCCGCGATAGGGTATGGGTTCAATAAATGTTTACCTAGGTGGTGACGTCTATTTTGATCAACTATTTGGACGCTCCTGTAGGACAGATTTGAAATGCGATATTGACAAACTGAGATGCATTCCGAAAGACGACTCGGTATTTGAATATAGCGTAAAACAATGGAAGAATACACGAAGTTGGGTTTGGACACAACCTGCACCTATTGTAACTACGCTTTTGGCTTGGCTGCATACGCTCTGTGGGAAAACGCTAGTTGCACCGGCCATCAGTACCAGTGCCACCGCGAGAGACGTACATTGCGCGCAGGCACTGGGCAGATCTCAAATTTCGCCCAGAAAATCGAGCGTATGCAACCCGGCCCACTGCGGAGTTAAAATAGTTGCATGTTGGGTCCAAACCTAACTTCGTATATTCTGTCATCGTTCCTCGCGTTGTTTTGAGTTGAAAGAGCGTTCCGTTATCTATGATGTTTAAAAAAGGCTCAGATGTTGTAGAAATGCACTCTATTAGCATCCCTATTTCATTCACATTGAACCGCAAACTGATAGAAGTTTCATCTTAATTTGCTATCATTATTCAGGTGGTAAGTAATTTAAAAAAAGGTACGGCAGTGTGCAAATTGCTGAGTAGTGTCACTGGAAGATAGCTCAAAATATATTCTTGTTGTGTCTTCAAAATAGACAACTATTTGCTTCTCGGTAAGTATAATTATTTCGCTAGCGGTGAAATTGAAGGCGAGATGCAAGTGAAGGGTATCTCCCAACCACGCATGGTTTATTGATTCAAACAAAACATGCAGCGGGATGACAATGTTTTTGAATACTTTTCTTATCCGCTACGTTCGATTAGGTACTCGCATCCCCTCTTTTTCTCCTCCCCCCTCATTTTAGCGATTTTTCTGTGATGGCGCAAAATGGATCGAGTCCATAGGAGAGGTCAGACATGAAATTTTTGACTATAACTGTAAATTTTGATGTTTAATTCGTCACATTTTAAACTTTGAGGGGCGTTACTAAAAAAAATTTCACGAGTAAAACAATGGCACCATTTTTAAAATCTCAAAGTTTCGATTTTACGGAGTTATAAGCTTTCGAAGTTTTCAAATTTTGTCCGACCTCTCCCATTGACTTGATCCACTGGGTGGCGCCCGGTGCAGCATGCACCATTGCACCACCCTCAATCCAGCCCTGCGTAGGAGGACTCCTCGCATTTTCATTTGATGCTTCAACTTATTTTCCTCCTCTCCCTCTTCACCTTCTCCTTATCTCTAGGTTTCCATCGAAATATATAAAAGAACTGCTGAAGTAAAATGTCTTGGCTAAAATATACTCGTTCATGGTTTGCCACTTTAAAGTCGATTAGGGTTCGTCGTTAAGGGGCTGTAAGTCGTTTACAGCTATTTTCGCCGGAGTAATTGAGAAAATTTCTTTTCAGATGCTCTCCTTACTTTTCAGGAGAGAATCAAGACATCTATAGGTACAGTTTCCACATCCCAAAGTTGTATTTTTTACTTGTTTTACATTCTTTGTCTTTTTCATTTTAAAACGACGGCAGACAACGTAAAACTACTGATATTTGGTCTAAATGATTCATTATTCATCATAAAAGCTCCAATCCGGAAATTATGGATCTATCGTCCCCAATATACGGCCATCATCAGATCTATCGAAGAGGAAATGTGCAGTATAAAAATAGGGCTGGTTAGGTGGTCAATAAGTACGAGCGAGTAAATTAAACACACTCATAAATAATCCGCTGATTACGAAGTATCAGTATCCCATCGCACACTCCAGTGCCCTGATCGAGGAAGCCCACGGGTCAATTAAAAGGGCGCAACCGTCAGTTCCTCGAAAGGATCAGCGCGGCAGATATAAATCAGATTTTCAGATTAACCGGGAACAGGTAAAAGAAAGAGAGGGAGAGTACTTTGTAGAAGGACTTGTCAAAAAAGGTACCCCTCTTCCTCTCTTGAATGTACCTTGTTAGCTGTTTGTTTAGACTCCCGCGGGATCAATGCATTCGAGGTAGAAAAGACAGTAATAACTGAAATGCAGTCCAGCCAAGCGAAGTCTGGCGGCGCGGCAGTGAACCATAACCCGGGCGGTGCAGGTTCTGTCCCGCACCAAGGCGAACGTTGCCCTCCCCTCTCTCGCCAGTCTGTGCATGAACGCGTTACCGTGCGGACGTACGTTAAATCGTCGTCCGAAACCGTCGCAAACGTGCGTCACATGTGATCAGTGTTCTCTTTTGGATATATAATTTAATTTTTTTATCGAGTTTTACCATGAGACGGTGCAAAATTCGTGGCGGCTGTGCTTCATTTTAACTGCGAGTTTTCGCGCTACCGTGAATATTATTTTTTTGGCCGAAGTCTATGCCTTGCGCTTAAACATGTATTTTAGTTTTGTATCTGTGATTTTTGTGATTTGTGGTCTGTGTCATGCCAACAGTGGCGATACTGAAGTTCTAATGGATAACACAACTAAAGCAGGTATGTTTGTCCGACTTCTAATTATTTTCGGCGTGCAATGGTCACCAATCTTACTCTTTTTGCCGGCAATGTCCGCTTACCTTCCGAAACCAGTGATCATCGTCATAATACGTTAGTGATATCCATGTTCTCTGACCAGATTTTAGATCAATTACATTCCTCTCAGCTGGTTTTCTCTCTTTCTACTGTTCAGCAAATAATTTCTCCGGGCGCCGCTATTCTAGTCATCACTGGAGTGGAGGCTGTCAGTGAGTTCATAATGATAGATCGTTTTGGACTTACTCTATTTTGTTATCTATGAATGAAAGTTTTCGCTAGGAAAATCGCGGAGTGTCAATACCCGAAGTCACTATTCTGGAATAGGGAAATCAATTCACGCTGATGAATAAGCTAGAGCGTAATACTTTGCTTTACTGCAGGTGCTAGATACGAGGTGTAGTAGCTTCAACTTAAGTCTGTGAAGTTTGACTTTAATTGGGGGGGGGGGGGAATAAAAGAATAGACAAATAAGTAACACGCAAGAAAACGGCACAGTTCAACTCAAATGCTAATCAATTGGCCGACTGATAACTGAGGACTTTTTTGTCAAAAGGGCGTATGAGGCTTGCAACGCTGCTAAGATGATGCAATTTTTTCTATCGTTTGAGGTGGATGAAATTATTCACAAGTGACGGTGCTTACTTCCCTACAATAGTGAGGTAAAGTTCGGGGGGAAATCCTTAGCAGAACTGTCTGATGTTTTACTCTCAACTAGAGAAATATGTTGTACAATTTAAGCAGCACTGAAAGTCCCATACGCCCTTTTACCGGAAAATCCCTCAATTGATACGTTCAGATTGATGTAATTTTGGTCCACTCTTTTTTTTATCCCTTGCTCTACATACGTTCTCACTCACGTTGGATTCATAAAATTCGGGCTGACGTTTGGTGGAAAACTGTTTCTCACGTGAGGAGGTGTGCTTATTGTAGGCATAGTTAAGTGAGAATTGAAGTTTTATTTCCGAATGTCTCCATACCTACAAGATTTATCCTGATTCAGTCAGTCGGCTAGTTATGTACAAGGACTGGGGGTTCGGGAACTGATTGACTGATAATAGCGCTCGGGTGGTGGCGCTAGTCTCGGCCTCATCCAGGCGGACATCAATTGAACAAAAGGAAAAATAGCAGAGCGAAAGGAGAGCGAGATAGCCGGCTTTTGTGAATCGGGTTCGGCGCGGCGGTGTGGCCGCAATGTTGTCAAGTTAATAGATGAAATGTGCATATTTCTCACGGGGTGAAATGAGGGCAAAAGGCGGAAGTTTTAGGACCATCCGGCGTCAATGTGTGACCGGGACGGCCAGACACAGTCCGGGCGCCAGCGACCCTGGAGCCACCCTTCGGGACCGGGGGTTGCCGGGCCGTTGACGCCACTCCTAGAGCCTTTTGTTTCCTCGATTCCACCCTCTTTCATTGGTTCTCAATCCTCGTCGCACTGATAATTACCCAATTCCGAATCGAGAGCAGAGTCCAGAGCTGATTCCCCCAGTTTCCGACTGGACAAAGGCTCGGGTCTTCTGCTGGAGAAAGCGCTCAGACAAGGTTCAATCTTCTTCAATGGATCTGTACTTCAGGTCTCTATCATTGAATCAGGTGGAAGAAGTTGTCAGCAGGGTTGTACAAGTGAGACAAATAAAAAGGAAGATTGGAAATTTCGGTGAATGTTTCATGAAATTTCTCAAAGTTGGGAAAAGCTCGCAACATATAGTTTTAGGGGCTGCGTATGCAAATGTACCGACCATCACTGAAAAGCCGAAACCATGGTTTTTTGCGTTTTATTTCGGAAAGTATTTTCCATATCTTTCACAAGCTGTACTTACGCTTTTTTCATTTTTATCTCCGCTCTCATTTTATTTTTTTAAAGGAGGATAAAAGAGCATTCTTTCCTAAGGTTTTTAAAGAATTTTGTCAGCACGGCGAAGGAAGATGACGGAAATTTGAAACGACGTTCAGCATCTTCTTTTTCATTTTAAATAATTAAAGTATGCCAGGAAGTCTGCAACGTCGCAAACCGAGCTACTCGGTTTCGGAGCTTCGAGGTTGAAATTGTTTTTACCGTGGGGTTTTTAAGTACTTAAGTAGGGAAATTTACTTGGCGTTTTGTTTCATTTTTATGACGACAATTTTAACTCAAAGACAAATGTATCTATATTTAATGAGCAAAACAGCCTCTAGATTTTAGCAACACGGAGTGGCGCTTACATAATTCCTGAATACCGACAGGCGGTATGCCCAAAATATGCCCAAATATTTAAGTCTTTCAATAGTGGGAAAAATCTCAACTCTAAAGTGTTAAAATACATCCACTTCTGAACGTGGATTATTTTTTAAAAGAAAGTCATTTTGGCCCTTTAAAAAACTTATGTGGCTCCTAAACATTGATGTAGCTTACCAAATTGGCCCTCAAATGGATCGAGTTTCTCAGAAAGGAACCAGGCCACTACAAATATCACCAAATTTAACTAGGCAATTTAATTTTTTCAAGAAGACGTTAGTGCGGATTCCTTCAACAATTTTAAGGAATTTGCTTCGTACTAAGTATGCAAAAAATTCTCTGAAATTTCCACAGAAATCCGCACAACCGTTTTCATGTCAAACGTTAAATGGACTGCATTTTGCAAAAAGGAACCAAGAGCAATGCAATGTTGCTAAGATTGTGCAACTTTTCTTGTCTTGGAAGAAAAACCTGGTCATTCATAAACATTTACTATTTTACACGCTAAAAACTGTAAAGTTAAGACCAAAATTAGCATGTAAATTTCATATTTTTGCATACTTACAGTAATTTTATTGCAATGGATGAAGTCGCACAATCTTAGCAACATGGCAATGCTTCCGGTTCCTTTTTGCAAAATGCAATCCAAATTGCTCTATTAAACTTTGCAATAGCTGATGTGGCTTGGTTCCTTTTTACCTACCGCGGTCCAAATAATCTCTCGGGAAGATGAAAACACCGAGTGAATCCGCCCCCGGCCGTTTCCTCAAAATCCTTGTTTTCCAAACATGATTTAATTCAATGGTAATTACATTGTTTCTGCAAGGAACTCAAAAAATTGTTTCACTTGTTCAAGACCGCGGTCTAGTTGAGACCGAGAGAAGGAACGAACTACACGTGAATGGAAATCTTTTCATGGACTGAGCTCCTTTCTTTTACGCTGGACTCCCCGAATCAAGAATCAGTGACGAACTCCTTTTATCCTTTTGATTAATGGGTCCGCGGGCGCTTAATCAAACGGACGTATTTAAATCAAAAGGATCTATCGTCTTCGGACCTGGGCCCCGGGACTCGCAAGAATACACGCGTGACGGAGCCCGCGCCGAACGAAAACGCTCCCTTTTGATTTAAATATGTCTAAATTTTATGAAGACGTTTCTTATCTTGATATTCTATCAACATGAATAGGGCTGCTTTCGTGCGTGATTCATCGGTGCGGAGGTATTTTAAGTTAGATCAGGGCTGTGTGTGTTCAGGGCAGGTTCGTGTCCGCTCTGCGTCAAGGAACTAGTCCAGTTCTGTTTTAGAGAACAGGGAAGGCCTCACTGAATAGAGGTGCAGGGCAGCAGCGTAAAAAACCCGCGTCTTTGGCTTTTGGTCTCCTACGAGAAAACCCTATTTGGAAAAAAAAACACATTGGATCTAGAGTCCAGACTCTTGAAAACATTGACAAGAAAAAATACTCTTGATTCAATCGGATTTTTGCTTGAATCAAAACGAAATCCGCTTAAATTAAGAGGCTTGGTTCTTGATCTAAGCTAGATTCTGATTGAATCAAGGGTACTTTTTCTTGTCGATGTTTTCTAGAGTCTAGACTCTAGATCCAATGTGTTTTTTTTTCCAGTGCTCTTAATGCCGGAATCACACGCTGAATTTGGCAGCTGAATATGGAAGTCATCAGTCATCACTCAACGGCTGAAATTTGCAAATCGCGTTATTTCCATCTAGATTTGTATCAAATCTTTGCAAGATTCAGGCATCGGGCCGATGACTTCTACATTGAACAAGCCACATTTAGCTCCAACATTCAGCGTGTGTCCGGCGCAGCTCCCAATGGCAAGTAGTCAGGAGACTGAACCGTCCCAATTTTACAGGTGAAACGACTGAGTAAGAAACAGATCACCCACGTACCGTAAAAAGAAAGTACAAAAACCATGTTTGCAACCTACGGTATGAGACTTTTCTTGAAACTATTTACAGTCAAAATGAGACTAAAATATCTTGCAGTCAATTATTCTGGCACACAACTTTTCCGCGAGGTCCTGGGCTGAAATTAAACGTAGTCGCGTCGACTGAAATTGATCCATTGGAAAATTCGCCTCGGACACCATGGTGCCATGGTGTCTTTTCTCTCTTTTATGAACAACAGCACATTTCAAAAACAAAATTTTGATTTTTAGGTTTCGTTATGTCCCCAGATGTCCCAGAAGCAATTTCTAGAGTTTTGGATGTGAACTCGTCGATATCGGGGGAAAATAGCCCTAATAAGGCCTCTAAAACAAACTGTTGTGACGATATACTTTATTTCCTATTCTAGCGGAACAGAGAAAGTATCGAGACGTTCATCTTAAAATTTATTCCCAACAAAATTTACCGTAAGAATCGTATTCGTCCTTGATTTTAAGCTCTACGAGGAGAGCAAAACGGGAATTTTCTCCTACGAACGATTCCGTAACGGTTCATTATTGAAGTGAGCCTTGGACTGGCAGAAACTGATGAACAGTCATTCCCACGAAACGATATTACTGTCTGCCTTAGATAAGGTTGGTGTCAAAGATCATACGCTGGATTTACGGGCTATGTTTGGAATGTAATGGATAGAAAGGAGGGTGGAGGGATGTCATGTGCGGCGGTATCGCAATGTCAAGCGCTCGAGGTATACAGATTGATTCGTTGAACGATGAAAGGGGATACTTGTCACAGCCTGCCGATTCTCCCAGGGAGAGGGCAATGAGTGTATTGAACGTGG